GAACAGGGCCATATTTTTATGGCTTTTAACAAAGCTCTGGCCTGCTTTGTCTTTGAAGTGAAAGTCAAAACTTGAGAAGAAGCAGTGTGGGAAGAGTTAGGCTCAACGTCATGCAGTCCTGCATCTACCCTATCATATTCCCTGGCCTGAGATGCTTTTCCCCACTCGTTTTTGGTAACTGGTGCTCAGTCCTTTTGCAGTCTCAAGCCCTGGCATTTGCGTGCAGAGTGGGAAGGGTCACACAGGGTGGTCAGCATGTGGTCTTGTTCGGGGAATGCTGGGGATTACCACCCTTCCTAAGAAACTGATTCAGTCACAGTAATGATACTTAAGGGGGTTTAAGTGGGAAGGGATGGAAATAACATAGTGTTAAGAGTTGACAAGACAGAAGGAAAGTTATATGCAAGCTTCTAGAAATTACTCCAGAAGCCTAACTGCTATATCCCTGAAGGCTGGGTCTCTACCCTGTCTTTAATCACTGCTCCAGCTTCCAATAGAGTGACTTTCATTATTCTTCCTGTAGAAAGAGGAGATGACATTGACTCCACTATGCACTTTGGTTCTACCCTGCCTTTTATGTCCTGAGTCCAGTCAGTGTCACAAAACAGACTCTTATGTTGCGGACACTGCTGACCTGTGGTTAGCCCAAATAATTTGCCTAAAGGCTCTCTTTAATATATTCAGTATTTTAATTCTCAGATGTCTCATCTGGGGCACTGTTTAGCCATTATCACAAACTGGGTCATTACTTTCAAATCTGCCTGAATTTTCACATCTCTGTCTAGCAAACAGCTTTCACTCTCACTTCTTCCTAACAACACTTCTAACTGGAAGAAGAGTTACAAACTATCTGTTCAGGTGACAGATCCAGGCTCAACCCATCACCCTTCCACCTGACGTGCTGGCCCTTCTTTCCCAACACCCTGCAGTCTCTGATCTGCACCACATTCCCCAGGCTGCTGCCGAGTGTAACTATTGAGAAGTTACGTGACTGCACAGTGCAGAAGTGGAAACAGAACCCATGGTGTGGTGCACAAGGGGATCCAGAAATACAGAGCATACATCCCACCAAAAGCCATGAGATCCATGCTCCCAGCCCATGCGTGCAGTGTGCTGCAGGCATCAGGCCACCAGGGCCTGGATTCACACTTCTTGGACCTGCAGCCAGAACTCGCATAGTGTGGTGAGCTCGGTAATTACCTGATTTATCTCTTCATTCCATCCCAGAGAGGAGCAAAGTACCACGTTTTTCCCTCCTCTTCAGAGCCACCTGATGCCCCTTTGGGGCTGACACCAGATCCACCCCATCCCTGGTGCCTACATGAGCTGAAGTGTTGCCCTTTACAGTGCTGGGCTCCTGGCCAGCCCTCCTGCAGCCAGAGGCTGCGCATGCAAAGGGCCGGCGTGCTTGCACACAGCTCCGTTCCATTCAGCCTCTCCCAACAGCTGCTCCGGGGGTGATGGGGGCAAATAGATCCTTTTCCTGACCTCCTGGGGATAGGCTTTGCCAGGTCTGTTTATTAATTGATTTAAGAAATCCAGCTGCAATCATGAACAAGCTACCAAGAAAAGAAGCCTGAGCTGGGGACTTGGCTCAGGACAGGTTTTTTTTTACTGTGCTCAAATCTGTGCTTGCTTCATTGCAGCCCTGTCCCCACCACCACCACATGCATGATGCAGTCACAGTGCTGATTTCATCACTTCACTATGCATCACACAACTTTATGGCAGCAAAAACCCCTTCTACCAAAGTCTCAACACTCTGTGACAAATTGCCACTTCTCACTGCCATTAGCCTGTCATATTGCCTTTGTCAGGCAGCACTGAATCCCTGATCCTCATTGGCATAATTGGCTCCTGCAAAAAAACAGCCTGGGTCTTGATGGCATGGGACAGCTTGAACTGTTTCCCCAAAGATGTCAGTGTTCCATCAGTTCAGTTTTACTTTAATTTGGAATAAATTCTAAAATCTTACTAACCCTTTCTTGTCAAGCCAGTTTTGCATTTGGCACACAGCTTTGCTGAGACCATGCTGTGCAATTCCAAAGGAGAAACATTTGGGAGCCCTAAACATCTTTAGCTACCACACAGAGTGTCTTCAAACGAAAAAATGTTGTGGAATCACAGCATGGTTGATAACAGGCAGAACGCATGTAGATTGCCTACACCAACTTCCTTCTCAAAAGAGAGACAGCTAGAGAAAGTTTACCAGAGCCTTGTCCAATCTCTTTTGAATTCTCCAGAGCCACAGACACACAACTGATGTTACAAACTTTGGCCACCATCACCATAAAGCCATTTTTCTTTTGTTTAAATGCCTCCCCTCTCACAATTTATACTTGTGCCTGGAAGTATAAAGAGATATAAGATCCACCCTGATTCTTCTCCTTTCCAGGCTGAACATTTCCCATTCTCTCATCCTCTGCTCATATGATGGTTTCTTTCAGTAGGCAAGAACCTCACTACTGGAGTGTTTGGTTTCAAGCTCTCATGGTTGCTCTTAGATTGTTCTCAAAATAGGTCATTAGTAGGCAGAATTTTCTTCTCAATATTCTACACCATAATCAATTCACCATGCAGTCTCTCTATTTTAGATAGTTGAGCTTGTTAGGTTTTTTTTAAGGCTGTCTTACAGCCTTAAACCACAGTCCCACTGTGTTTTTTTCTGAGCTGTCTCCAGTTTTCCAGCTTGCCTGTAATTGTGGTGCCATAACCAGGATTTCTCCATGAGGTATCAAATACAGATCACTCACTCCTTCTTCCCACATTCATATTTAGGCTAGCAGGAATCTTGTTAACTGTTTTGCTGAAGATTTGACCATCCCTACTCTCTGCCCCTCTTTAGGCATGCAAGGAGCCCATTTGCCTTTTTTAACAGTACAACACAATAAGAACTCATGTAATCTTGTGTATCCTCTTGGCAAGTTTTCAGGGGTCCTCTTGTAAGGATGGCTTTTATTCCTATGTGTTCCTACCTAATTATGTTTCTCCTGCCTGTAAGAAAATGTATTTTGTTTGAATATACGTAGCTTATCAAGTAATTCAGGTCTCTTTGAGTAGCCTGTTCCTCTTGCTACCACCCTATTCATACTTGTGTCATCTGTAGGGTTTTACCTGCTTTGTATTTTCCTTAAAATCATGGTTGGAAATGTTAATTAGTTTTCCTTTAACAACTGATCCCTGCAGAAACCAAATAAAATAGAGCACTCCAAGTAGACAATGATTTCTTCTGTCTATTGAAAGTTCTCAATCCACTTAATCTATATTTTATGGACTTTTCATAGTGCATCTTCTGAATCAATACAACATACCACAATTCTCTTTTTATCAGTAGGTCATGCCTTACAAAAACTCCATACCATAACATTATGAATTTACTGTATCAAACACGACTGCATTATAAAATTGAATGTCTTATGCCAAAAAGCCACATTCCTGTTCTGTAGTTCTGCATTAGCAAGCACCTGTAACAAATTTTCCATTATTTTTCATTGGATAGTTGCCAGCTACTTGGCCTTATGTCCCTTGGTCTTAAGGCTTCTCCACTTTAAATACAGGGATTGTGTTGGCACCTTAACATTCCTCTGCTATTCCTACAGTAATTAAAGAGTACTTAAAGCCAAATCTCAGCAGGCTGGAGTTGAGCAGCATTTATTATGATTTCAAGTAATGAAAGATTCTAAGAGATGGAAGTAAGCAGTAGAAAACTGTATTGGACAGTGCGAACATAAAGGTAGGTTGGGGAGTTGGAAAGAAGACTCAAGGCATAAGAGATGTAGGGAGCAGGAACAGCACAAAATAGTAGTACAGAGGTGATGTTGCTGAGAGGTGAGCTAAAGGTGTTTACCAGGTGATAGGTAATGTTAGTAGAGTAATGTTAGTAATGCTAAAATGCCAGTGGGTGAGAAGAAGCTGGGAAAAAAGATCTGGAGGGTGGGGAAGCATAGAAGAAATTGTGTGCAGGAAAGGGTCTGACATGGCAAAAAAGATAAAATGCTAGAAAGTATAGTGCTGGGACACATTTTTAGAGGTTATGAAGCCTTTGAGAGTGGAAAATGAGCTGTGAATGTTTCCAGCAAAAGACTAGGTTAAGTGGAGGAAAGGATTATTACCAACAGCAAAATCCTGGGGATTGAAAAGAGGTAGAAAAGTAAAAACCGCTACTAACCCCTAATTCCCTCTTTGCTACTCCTTTTCAGGATTAAAATGTGCACCTAGGAGGATATTGGGGTATTAGGAGAGATGTGTGTCTAGGGTAGGGTTAAAGGTGTGTGACAGGAAATGGGGGAAGGAAGGTCTTCTAGAGGAATAACCAGGCATCTAAAAGAGCATGAAGGACATTGTCCTAGGACCTGAAGGCAGAACAAGGGAAGAGATCTGTTTGGGCTGGCATGAGACAACCTCAACACCACAATCATTCCCCCAGCCATCATCCATGGCCATGTCCTGGGGTCTCCCAGCCCATCCACCCCAGCAGTCTGAAGCCACCCTCCAGGAGTCCTGGTGCGGGCACAGGCAGCATTCTGGGATGGCCCCTGCCTTGGACAGCTTGTCCTGAGATAGCTGCAAGTTCTGACATGCTCCCTGCTTTCCAACCCAACAGTGGGTCCTGACAGGCATTTATTATGAGGGAAAATGAGCCACATACAGAAACACAAAAGTACATATTTTGATCTATTTTGAGACACGGCATGTGCTGCAGCCTAAATAACTCCCTGGAGTTTCTGTGGCTAGGAAACAAGTGGATGCCTCACACACAGTCATTTCCAAGAGAAAGATGTTTTCAAGCCACAAGGAGGTGGCACTGGGCAGCACTGAGCCATGGGGTGAGGACCATCAGCGTGGGAAGGAGCTTGACTCTGCGGCAGCAGGGAGAGTGCTGCAGAGAAGTCACTCTCTGGGTCACCATGGCCTCTCAGGCCCAGGCCACCACGGTGCCCACACCCCGAAGCCCCTCGCAGGCCGAGACCCTCCTTCCCTCCTGCCGTGGGGAGCGGGCTCTAGGACTTCACGGCAGCCTCCTCACCGTGCCCATCCTCCAGCCGCCAAGGGCAGTGGACGTAGCGCAGCACGCCGCTGACGGGGCCGCGCTTGGCGGGATCGAGAGCCAGCAGGCTCCGCAGCATTCCCGCAGCCTCGGCTGTCAGGCGCTTCCAGTGCCTGGGCACGTCCTTCTCTAGGCCTGTCTCCTGCCACTGCATGAAGTCCTCAAAGAAAGGGTCCTCTGGCAAGCTCTGCTCCCAGGGGAAGTAGCCGGTCAGCAGGCAGAAGAGCAGCACCCCGAAGGCCCAGGCATCCATGCTGCTGTCGATGGGCACCCCCTGGGCATCAGCGGTGTTGCTCAGCTCGGGGGCAGTGTAGGGGATCACCCCGGCCACCAGCTTCAGCTTGGTGCCCTTGGGCCTTGTGAGCCCGAAGTCCGTGAGTTTGACGAGCCGGCAGTCGGGGTCGAAGAGCAGCACGTTCTCGGGCTTGATGTCGCGGTACACCAGCCCCCGGCTGTGGATGAACTCCAGCGCGCTCACCAGCTGCCTGGCACACTGCTTTGCGGCCGGCTCAGGGATCCCATCCTGCATGGAGAGAGGCATGGTGGGATGGCTTGGCAGCCCTGACAGCCGGGCTCTCACCAGAATGCTCTGCCCTGGGAAAGACCTTTGCATTCCTTGCTTTGCCAGCCCAAGGCTGCTTCAGTGCTGCAGACCCCAGACAGACCCACGGCCATTGCCTTTATCTCCCTCCCTCTGACCCAGCCAGCCTTCAGAGGGGACAAATGCTACAGCCCATTCCCCATGGCCTTGAAGCAACACTCACGCGGGGTTTGATGATAGAGATGAGGTCTCTGTGCAGTGCTGGTTCATAGAGGAAACCATAGTACTGGCTGGACTCAATGGCAATTCCAAACATTCCAATGATGGCAGGGTGGGTGGCAAGGGACAGTGCTACACAATACTCATACAGGAAGGTGTGCAGCTTGGTACTGGCTTTGGGTAGCAGCTTGAGAGCCATAGGAGTCCCTGGGGATGGGAAGAGTGAGTCACACACCACAGCAGGACAGAGCAGCCACAACCACAGGGAGGTCTCTAGTGCAAAGTTTGTGTGGATATAGCCTGTGGACCCCAGGGCTGGAAATAGGCACTGCCAGGGGTGTGAGTTTTGAGCCCTGGGCTTGCACAAGAGCCCTGGGCAGAGTAGGGACATTCAGGATATGTGCGCCCATCAGCCTTGAGCTGGGACTACTGGGGAAGAGCAGTGTCAGGGCACTGATATGGCCAACCCAGGACCTTCATTCACACCCTCTGTCCATGGGCCTTAGGGCATCACTTCAGCACAGGCTTGGGGCTCCCTGACTGAACCTTGTGGGGGGACTGCTTTCCATTTATATCACATCCATGATGATGCCTATCTGTGAACTCTCTTGATCCTGACTTGTAGATTAATTTCCCAGCTTGACCTTGGGCCTGTCTCATCACTATAACCTTGCCAGATGTTCTGGGCAGCCCCCTGGCATCATCTGGTCCCTGGATAGATGTAATGGAATGATTCCTGGCTGGGGAGGTCCCCATCCTGCTGGTCTCCCTGGGAATCCTCCTTGCCATGCCTGGTGCCCGGTCCTGAGGTACCACCAGCCCACCCCACGCCCTGTCCCCTGGTGAGTGGAGAGCAGACAAGGCACAGCAGTTCACAGGGCACAGTCACTTCCTCACCTCTCTGCCTGTGGGTCACGAGCATCACGTGGCCATACTTGCCCCTGCCCAGCTCTCGAATGACCTCGTAGTGCTCAGCCACCTCGGCGCGCACCAGGCTCTGAGCAGTGATCTCCAGGAGCTCCTCTAGCTTGGTCGGGGCTGCTCTCTCTGACGCTGCTGCAGTCACAGCTGAGCTCTCGGCCATCGCTGAGTGCTGCAGAAACACCATAGCCAGTCAGGAACATCACAGCACACACAGAGAAAGCCAGATCAGACATGCAACACAAACCATGCCATGGCAGGGCATATTTCTGCTACTTGGAGCCTGAACACTCTTTGCTGCTGTGCTAGAGTTGAATTTGCACTTTTATACAGCACATCTCTGGGCAAAACCCCTCATCACAGAAAAGGTCTTTGTGTTGAAGAGAACCTCCTCCAGCCCTCTAATCCTTTAGCCTAGTATTAGGCAACACGCAAAACATTAGCAGAGTCCCAAATTTTATAGTGTGACCCACTCACCCCCCTTGCTCTCCTTAGCCTACTGCAGCAAGACCTCATCTCTCTACTCAGAATTTCACCTCTACTGCTCACTGGAGAAAGTCTTGAGGATGAGACAGACCTGTCCCTTAGGCAGAGGCACAGCTAGCACATGACAAAAGGCAGAGTGCCCTGAGGAAGCCAAAGGGAGCTCAGTACCTCACATGACTGACGACGTTTCTGACCAAAAGTCATGCATCTGTGCAGCAAAGTAACTTATACAGGAAGTAACCTAGGACATCTAGTCAGCTGCTTCAGACCCATTTCAGAGAAGTGTTTTTTCACTTTTCCCAGCCAGCTACAAGGCAGCATTTTAAGGCTTCTGTGGCAGCATTTTATCCCTGTCTACCTCCTTGTGCTCTGAACAAGGCACTTCGGGCCTTGTGACCTGGCCTTGGAGCAAGGTCACAGAATCAGAGTCACAGGATGGGAAATGGCAGAAAGTACTTCTGGAGACCACTTACTGCAACATCCTGTTCAGAGGAGGGTTAACTAGAGCAGGTTGTCCTGTGCCAGCCCAGTTTTAAATATCTACAAGTTTGGAGACTCCACAGCTGCTGTGGGTGACCTGTTCCAGTGTTCAATCACCTTTGTGGTAAAAAAGATTTTAACTGAAATTCTGTTTCAGGCCCACTGCCTCTTGTTCTGTCACTCAGTATCATCTGATATTGTGATATGCCTGGTTGTGTGTTTTTGCAAGTACTTATATGCATTGATCAGATGTTTCCCCTCAAGCCTTCTCTCCTTGAGGCTGATCAAGTCCCAGCTCTGCTAACCTCTCCTCCTATGACAGATGCTCCCATATCTTAACTGTCTTCACAGTGGATTTGTTCCTGTATGTCCACATATCTCTTCTGCAAAGGAACCCCACTGCTGCTAAATCCAGCCATTCTTCAAAAAAAAGAAATTTGGAAAAAAGGAGTTATTTAAAACTGGGAAATCTACAACAAGGCTGGATTTCTATAGGAGCCTGGGACTATTGTGGGAAAGTTCCCCTTCTCTTTCCTTCCCTTTCTCCTAGACTGCATTTCTAAATCTTACCCAATTCAGAAGTGCCAAATAATTGGCCCTACTTTTCTACAAAGGCTTTGGCTTGCTGTGAGAGTCAACAGCAGTCAAATCTAGCACATTCCATAGAGACTACAACAATGAGCAAGTGCTTGCATGGGAGGGGATAAATGGAAAGCTGGGGAGAACTTACAGGGAATAAGAGTCTGGAAAGTATATTTGAGATTTTACTTTGAAGTTCTCCTGTTTGCTGCCCAGCCAACAAGGTTTGTGAAATTTCAGACAGCAAGAGCATCTCAGAACCCACAAATGGATCCACCCTGCCAACAATATTTCCAAACTGGTGCTTCCTCATTTAGGTGTTATAGAGAGAAAAATTTAGGTGGAATATAGAGGAAAAACCTAAAATGTAACAGACCTGGGAAAGGCATAGACCTCCCTTTGATATTAGATAAGCTAAAGCAACATTAAATAGTGGAGTGGAACAACAGGAGAGACGCCTGCTTGTCATTTGAAGAACACGTTATATTAATCTGTGAAAAAGATATGAGAAAAGTCTTTTCTGCAAGACAGTGTTTCTCCTATATCAAATTAATGGTCACATACAAGTTCTTGGCAAATAATTGTTCACAATCTTTTTAGATAACTGAAATTCTCAAACCTGAGTTAGGTATAGGTAAAATTTCTTCCCTTGTATGCTGGCCACTCATTACTGCAATTTATCCTAAAAGTTAGAGTCTTCTCACTGCATCAACTTTAAGTATTATTCAAAAGTTATATACTCTTCAAATATCTACTAATTTGTATGTTTTATTCACATTTACTTGTTTACAACATGGTTCATCCATTACTTCTCTCTTATTTACTATGCTAAAACTTGATTTTGTGAGCAGGACGATATGCTTTTCTGTACATTCTTGGTTCTCAAATCACTTTAGGGAGTCAAATTTTAGTCCATAAGTTTTTGCAATAAATAAAAATTTTAAAAAACCCCAACAAAACAAAACAAAAACAAAAACAAACAAACAAAAAATAAAAAACAAAACAAACAAACAAACAAAAAACAAAAACAAAAACAAAAAAACCCCAGAACAATCCAAATCAACCCAAATCCCAAAAATTCTTGTATCCTTCCACTCCACAATTCAAGTCAACTGCAACATAGGTGAAACAGATCCATAATTCCATCCATGGCCCCAATAGCATGGGAGGGTAAATGGTGCAGGTTCAGAGTAGAGCAATAAAAGGTGAATGAGCCAGCTTAGAAGAACAGATAGTCCAGAGGATATGGGTAGAGTTTCTTGAGGGTCTGTAACCTGTGGGTCTGATCAGGGCTCCTCATGAAGGAAGCCCCAGCTGTAGTCACTCCAGAACAGTTTGCAGATTTTGGCCCTTGCTGCCCTTGGAGTCATTAATTACAAGACAAAGTCCATACTTTAAAAAATAGCGGACGTTGTCAGGTCTTTCTTTGAGATGCCACTGCGATTAGCTGGGAAGGTAAATGAAGATCAAATCTGGGTCACTGCTGAGTAGAGTGTTCCTGGGTGCTCTGCACCTATTTCTGATACCTTCCAAAGTGTCATTTTCCCTTAGCAGATTGACACGCACTGAAGAGGAGGTCACCAGGGCCAGGATGCATTCCCCATTAGGCTGTGCTGTATTGAAGGCAGCAGGCACTGTCTTATTCAAAACTGTTCTTTCCTTCACTATCCTTCCTGTGCCTCATCCCTGCTAGAGGTCTTGTTTCCAGGCTGTCGACTGTGAGAAACTGCAATTTCTCAAAAGAATCTTTACAGTGTCTTAGTCCAGGTAATGTTATTCTGGTTCTTCAATCAAAATGATTAATACATTTAGTGCAGAAAAGCACTTCATGCATATCAAAATCCAAAGACAGTGTGATCTCTGTATAACAGAGACAATGCCATGATGACAGAATCACAGAGGTGTTTAGATTGGAAAGGACCTCTTGAGATCATCTAATCCAAATCATCTGCCCAAGCTGCAGCAACTGAAGCAGGTTGTTTAGGACGGTGTTCAGCCAGGTCTTCAATATCTCCATAGATGGAGACTCCCATCAATGATCACTGCTTGGAAGAGTCTGTCTCCCTTTTCTTCATTACCCCTCATCAGATATTTATATACAACAACAAGATCCTATCTGAGCCTTCTCTTTTTCAAGCTGAAGAGTTTCAGCTGTTTCAGCCTCTTCTCATATCAAAGATACTCTATTAAAAATGGCCTTGAGCATATGGCATGTGGGGTCCACTTTCTTGTCTGACCTTCTACAGGGCCTTAACATAAACCAAAGAACAAATTGCATATGGGGCATCTCTTTCAAAAAGTCATTCAGGTTTGATCCAAAGACAATTGGTCAATTATAAATGCCACTGTGAACATTCTTGCTGTTAAGTATTCGTATGATAACCTAATCTGAATTTACCTAATCTGCTGCTGAAGTTTCTCAGATAGAGAAAAGAGATTTCTAATAACTGTTAAATTTCTCCAGACTCTTGCACAGTTTATATGAACTGTGGTCAGAGGTATGAACACAGGCTATGAGAACATATTTTCAATTAATTACATTCTGTAAAACTATCAGACTGAAGCTCAGCCTATGCATTTAACTGATGCTTTACTCAGGCTTCACCAAGCATCTGTCACACTGTGCTTCTGTAGTGCATCAGTTAGCTGAAAAACAGATGTGATGCTGCCACAAAATATGGTCACATTTTGAACTGAGAATAAGCATCTCTGTGCTTTCTGATCAAGACACCCCTCAGTCTTCTTCTTGGTTTAATGCCTTCAAATAACTTTCTGTCTAATTGTCAAACCAAGCTCCCAGATTGTCCAGCCCAATTGTCCAGATCTCAGATCTGTTTCATGTCTCTTTTCTAAAGCCTCATTATTTTTCTCCTCCTATCCCCCATGTTAAAACCCTGTCTGCCTTGGGGGGTTTTTGGCCTCCTGTCACACTTTCAGCTAGAATGCCCCCCTGTTTCATGCTGTGGCCTCAAGATCTCTTTTTGCAGGAATGACACAGAGGCTGCACTACCTTATACATCCATTACGAGTCCAGAGTTTTTCCAAATTACTGGGGAACGTTGGGGAGGAAATTAACTTCCTCTTTTACACCCTTTATGGGTGCTGCCTACCTGGTTTCTACATGAATATTTTTGCACCATGTTTAGTAAAGCACATTTTGCTCAAATGGATTAAGTGTATCAAGTAATTCAGATCACTCAGTTGTCATCACACTTCTGTTTAGGGGCTGTGTAAAGACCAGTGATCTGCAGGCACTTCTCACCAACCTCTAAATTGTTGGTTTGAAGCATTCTCATCCTGGTATTGGTTCATATAGCACCTGCCTGAAATGTCCCATTCACTGGTTGTTTCCTGAAAGTTATCTGTACAAATTCATCGTGGCATTGGTCTAAACCAAGACACATTTTAAATTAATTTTTTAAAAGCTCAGCATATAGATTATAGTATAGGAAAATACCATACTTTATTGTTGTTCTCGCCCTACAGAATTTTTTTTTCAATCCTACGCTGTTATAATACTTTAACCTTTGTCAATGTTCTAGAATAAAACACCGAAATCATCCAGAAAATATTTGCAAATGGCACAAAAAGAGCTTGGGTAGACCATATGTTGCTTGATAAAACCAGTGCATGCACACACACACATACAAAAGTGTTTCAAATGACCAAAGAAATCAGGATTTTAGTCTGGCATTGGATGAGTGACAGCAAAAAGGAAAAAAAAAGTCCTATTAATCAGACATATCTAGGTTCATGCTGCTTAATGGGCACTATGTAAATCCATAAATGTAGATTTGGTATAGCTTCACTACTTTTGCAGGCCTTGAGACACTGGATGATACAGAATTGCAGTAGAAATAACCTACAGTGATATAGACACACATCTTAATGTTACAGATACAAGTCTAAGAGCATAACAGAACAAGGGTTACTGATGTTGCAGACTCTACTTTTGCATTCACTCTGCTAAAGAGAATGCCCGAAAAGAATCAGATGCAGGAAACATCAGCAGTGAGAGTCAAACTAACATTTTCCAAATGCTAAATTAAGAAAGTAAGCTTCACTGTAAACAAAACAAAACAAAACAAAAAATAGAGACAGCTGTTCAGTTTCACGTAGGCTGAGATGATTGTAACAAAAGAAGAGATCTGTTCTGAGGCAATGTGCTTCTTAGAGTGAACTCCAGTTTCTGCAGAGGTTCCTACATACAGATGCCATGAGACAGTCTGAAATTTAATCTCTGAAAATCAGCTGAGTTAGGGAAGCTGTATTTCTGAAGAGCTGGCCACCTGTTAACAGTTTCTGCACTACAATTGAGAATATCACACACCAGTGGAATTTGTATTTTTATAATAAATTTATTTTTCTGTTTGCTCTGCTTTGTATTCTTCTTTATCGACCTTTTTATGATGTTTCTTGAAATTTTAAAAACATAGTGATATGAAGAATACCTGGGTAAATTTCCTGAACTCTTCTGGACGCTGATAGACCAAAAGAACCAATTACTGGATGTTTTCTACCTTTTCAATGATAGTGGTGAGCCCACAGTTCAGCAAGCTACCACTGGTGTCCCCAGTTTGACAGAAAAAGGACAAGAGAAAGTCGTGACAATGGCAAGAGGGCTGAAAACTACAGGGGAAATTTCTAGGGGAGTTGTCTTTACAGCTTATCAAACAGATGGTGAAGAAGTTACTCTGTTATCTGTATACACCTTTCTGAGTACTGGAATTTCACTAAAAGGGGCTCTCCCAGTTAGGTAAAAGCTTTATAATAAAACCAATAGATGAAGCTGAACTGAGGCCATTTCAGACCTCCATTGTGGTGCAGATTCTCTGGAGAAGGGTATTTGCCCCTAAAAATCTCATCGAACATTATGGAAGAATATCCTTCCATCTTCGTAATTTTTGGTTCAAGAACGGCATCTTTTTTCCCTAAAAGGTCCACTCTGGTGCAAACTAGATTTAATACAGCAAGGGATAAGAACAGATTATCGCAATGTTTGCTTGTGGCCTTATTGCTGGTAGATTTATGGGCTTCTCTCTAAAACTGGTCGGCAGACTAGTTAGGTTTTCGCTGCAGAGCATGGCATGGCCGTGCCGGTAGCAGAGCTGCGTATTGCTGTCCTGGGCAGAGACACCCAGAGACAGCCCCGTAAGCCTGTCCGCAGCACGCAGCACACCACAGCCTCTGCACAGCAGCCTCCTCGGACAGAAACCCGCACCAATCTCGCTGGGACCAAGCCACATCACACCTTTCTCCCAGCCAACCCGCCAGGACCGCAGCACCATCCCACCCAACACAAGTGGGCACAAAGCGACCTTCCAGGGCAAAGCCGCCAAGGAGCTCTCCATCAGCCCTGGGGGAAAAGGGTGCGCTCCGCATTGTGCCGACACACCACGCTCGAGTCCCCAAAACCTGCCTGACAGGGGTGTGTGCCCTTTTACATGCCTGCCCAGTGTCTTCCATCCTGCCACCGCTGTAACGTCCCTCCCCACGGTGCTCTCCGCCTGTACTAAGCCTCTCACCTCGTCCAGCAGCGCAGCACAGCCGGCCAGCCGCGCTCCCCTCGCCGCAGCCGCCGGGCTCAGCCTGAGCCAGCAGCCGGACGGGGCTGCCAGGAGCTGCGGGGCTCAGCGTGACGCTCCGCCCCGTCCCATGGCTCTGGGCCTGGGGGCACACTGCCTCCCGGCTGAAGGTGACCTCGGCAGGGGAGAACAGAGGGGGAAAGGGGGAGGAAAGGACTCTCCGTCTACGCTCTGAATGGAGGGGCATGTGTTTCAGGAGCCGGGGTGGGATTGTTTCTGCTCTAGCCATAGGATTATAAACCCCCAGGGAGCCACTGGCAGACCCACCTCGTTCAGCCCTTTGCTCCAGCTTGGGCTCTCGTTACAGCTGAAGGAGCAAAGCAGCTTCCTGAGCTGGAACAAGGTCCTTGCTCCAGGACTGTGCCAAGTAGGACTCCATTCCTGATGGCAGGGATCAGAACGACCATGGGCTGCCAGTGCTTGTCCTTGGCTACCAAATGTGTCCGTGCCAGTGAGCATCAGAGACCAGGCACAAACCATGGCTGGCTCAAGGACTCCTCTTGGGGTCAGGGTCCTCACACACACCGGTACTGCAGAGCATTGTGATGAAGCTGAAGTCATTAATGGTAACTACAAAGACTTGCAAGCATTCCATCTATTCTCAGTACCTGCCCCCACAGGAAGACCTGTGCCAAGGTCTTCCTTCTTCCACTTGAGCATGGAGATGAAAACAGATCCTGGGTGCATGGACACCATGCAGGCCCTGGATCTGGGCTCTTGAACGCTGCTTTTTTTCTCTCAAGAAAGTGGATCAGTTTGTGTATATGAAGCAGCAGCGCATGTAGCTATGACATGGGTGTATCACAGCACTGACCCCCTGTTCCCTAGAGCCAGAGCCATGCTGGACACTTGTAGTGATGAGCCTCGGCACTCCCCGGGGTCAGAGAGTTGGGAGGAAGGCTGGGAGAGGTGAAAGACTGTCTAAGAGCAGCCCCCAAAAACATAAATATTCTGGGTCTCCAGCACAGGACCGAACCACCTCACCTGATCTCAGAAGGGAGAGTAATTATTCCAAGGGCTTGTCACTCAGTGCTGTGTCCTCACAGAGGGGCAATGAGATGAGGTGCACTGGACTGCTGGCACAGGCCTGTGAAGAGCCAGTCTGCTGCCACTCAGAGATGGTGCAAATCAGAGGGCAAGAGGAGTAGCAGTCAGGCTCCCAGCTGTCCCTCTGCTTCTGGATAAGAGGGGGCAGTGAGTTTATTTTGCTGATGACCTAAAGGTCTTGTGCCATTCAAGGCTGAGCCTTCACACCCATTCTGAAAGGTGTGATTGGGAACAGCCTGCAATGTGCAAAGTCCCTACAGGCAGGAACATTACAGCTAGGGGTGATGTGAGTGTACCAAAGAAACCTATCCAATATCCAAGAACTCAGCACTGGGATAAATGGAGTAGTGTTCCTGCTCTCCAGGAACAGGGGCCCTGTACAATCTAGTCTTCTTGTGGAAAGTATGAGACTATGGCTTCTACTTGAAAGACAAGTCAGAACTGAAAAATGTCCCTGGGGACTTGCTATAATTTACAGTAACAGTGCAATGCTGGGAAAGCAGCCCAGGTTCCCTGACTCCCCCAGTCCCTCTCTCCTTCTCTGCAATCACTATCTTAAACATGCTTCCACATAGAGGAACAAAATACAGTAGTCTTCCTTATTTCCCAGTTAATTTTTTGAGACACAGAATCCCTACTTTATCCATTGAGATGGGCACCTACTGAGGGGTTTGGTTTAGAGAAGAGACCTCTTCTACAGCCTTACCTGGAGTGCACTGACAAGCAGCAATTTCCCTGAGGGCTTGCTCCTGACCTGCCATTCTTCTGATGCTACATCTGCAGGGCTTGTCCTGCATTCCTCATTGACAGGGAGTATGTCACGTAGTGTGTATCACATACACAGAATCCCTGACCTCCACTCCCCGAGCACTGGGCACAGGACAGCTGTTGGAGGCCCCAGAGCTGCTGCACTACTAATGAAGTCCACAGTGGTGCATTTCAGGAGCTCTGTAATTTAACACCTACACCTCTCTCACTCATGCTGCACACACATTTTGTCCAGATGGCAACCAAGATGTTGGTCAAAGTCAACACTGACAGAATATGGAAACATGATGTAAACAAAACTGCCTTAGTGTCTTGGAAAGTTTGGTCCCAGGCTGTGGAGGAGGTAGAGCCAGGAATGAGAGAGGGGTGTGGGGAAGGTGTTTCTTGAGGTCTTATTTTACTTCTCATGATCCCGGTCTGATTTTGGTAGCAATAAATTAAATTAATATCTCTCATTCAAGCATGTTTTGCCCATGACAATATTGGTGAGTGAACTCTCCTGGTCTTTATTTCAACCCATGAATGCTTCATTATATCTTCTCTCTTCCATCCAGTGGTGCAGGAGGAGTAATAGAGCAGTTTTGGTGGGTGTCTGACATCCAGCCAGGGTCAGCCCACTACAGTGACACACACAAGCATTGGGGATGGCCTATGAAAGGGCATTCTTTTCCTCCTCTGAATTATGGTTGGTTTAGCATGACAAATATCCTGTCTCTTGCATGTCTGGCTCAGAATAGGCAGTACCCAGAAAAATAATAGAACATGAAAATTTCCAAGGACCAGATATGGCAGCCATAAAGCCATAGCAGTGGCAACTGCATGAGGAACAGCTGGACTGAACTACAGTAAAGGGACATAGTCAAAAAGGGCTCTTCTTTTCATCCTTCTTTCTCTTCCCTTAGTGCTCATCCTCAGTGTACACACAGCAGGCTGTTTCACTCACATCAGAACAGCAACAGTTCTTCAAGTATTGGCACACACAGCTCTAAAGGCTCAGGTCTGAGAGTGCTGTTAGTCAGACGATGCCAGATGTCTGGTTGCAAAGGAGCACTGCCCCTCCAAAGAGAAATCCACCATCTTCTATCAAGTATCCTAAGAACTACAGAAGGAACTGGCTCTCCCATCACACTTTCAGCAGGATACTCAGTTTCCCAAGTGTTGGCTTCAGTGTGAACCCTTTTTCATAATATCCCTGGCTAATGACTCTGATGATTTCAACAGGACCTGGGTGAGGAGGTGTGTACTCGTTTCAGGGTTACCCAGCCCCACACAGCTCTTTAGTTCCATTCTATATTATGGGAGGCACCAAAAGCATCTAGGGGGACGGAAGATTTGATGCTATTTGAACCCAACAGAGCACTCTTTGAAGGTGTGGAGGCTTATTAGCAGGTGTATGTGTGAGAAAGCTGCTGAAATATGAAACGTCAGGCTCCTTTACCTAAACGGCCTAAAAGAATTAATATTGTAGTCTATGCCAATGTTTAGTTTGTCTCTATGTTTTCAAACTGACCACAAGCATTTACTCAGAACATCTGTGATAGCAGCTTTTCAGAGCAGTCACAATCCCTTCATTTCCAGCACTAAATTTTGATCAGCCTTTCTCAGATCCAGTTTTGTGCTGGGGAATCACTCTTTGACTTTCCCCATTGCCCTTCTGCTTCTTCTGTTAATAAATCTGTGAGGTGCCAACCCTTTCCTCCCCCCAGCCTCAGCAGAGAGGTAGGCAAGCCAGTCTGTAAGGAACTACAAGGTGTGGGCTGCCTCCCAGGAGAGCTGGGGCCCTGAGCTCTCCTTGGCACAGGCAGGGCGCTCAGAGGAGTCCACCAGCTGCACAGACCATTTGTGCTCTGAGGTCATTCAGTGCTACCCCATCACTGAGGAATCTGCTGGCCGCCTTCCTGACAATGCTGTACAATATCCCACCTCATTTTCCAGCTAACACAACAGTCATGCTGAGCCTTGGCCCTGCTCCCCCAAAGTGCTTCCCAGCCATGTTCCCCATCTTTGTCAAAACCTCTCACACCTGAAACCTCTGGTCACCCACTGAACACCGTACATGCTTCAGAGCGTTCTGCTCACTCCCACTTCCACCTCCTCCCTTCACATTGCCGTTAGGTGCATTGGGTGCAGAATGATTGCAAGAGGCAGTGCTAATCCAATGGAATCCATGAGCACTGATCCCAGTGCCTCAGAGCAATGCTGGGGCAGTGCCCTTCCAACCCAGCACAGGGACAGTGATCCGCAACAGCTGTATTTTTAACCTTTTCCATCTCTCCCAGTCTCTCCTCCAGGGCTTAAAACAATATAAAATATCCCATAACCATGGTGTACATCAGCCTTCTCCCTGAAACTTAATGGCTTATTTGTCACCACAGGTACAGGTAGGGACTGTTCAGGAGGCAACTCAGCTTGCAGCTCCCACCCTAGTCTGGTAAGGTGGTGCCACTGCAAGAGGCTGAGTTGGCTGGGGCTCCAGATGGCTTGGTGACAGATACTGGGAAAGGAAGACTTACAGTGAGGCCTTGCAGGAAAAAAGGATGGACTGGCAGAAGAAAAGTGGAGTTGGGTGGTGGGGCAGGGACAACATGTTTTACTGGGAAAATTTTCTTCTGTTGGGGCAGAGAGATGGGGTAACTGCTCCTAAGCATCTGGGATCCAGGAGACAAAGGAGAAAAGGCTGGCAGGACAAGGTTTCTCCAGCCAAGTCTTGTCCCAGTTTCCTGCAAGGTGAGAGCAGGCAGGCCTAGGCATGGACTTGGGATCAACTGGGAGTCCAGATCATCAGGTGAGCTTGTGGTGAAAAAAGAAAAAAAAAAAGAAAAAAGAAAGAAAAAAGAAAAAAAGAGAAAAAAAAAAAGGCAGGTCCAAAGTCCAGGTGAGAAGTTGGTTTGTAGGTCAGTATCACTCCTGGTGGTGGAAGTCAGCACCAGTCACAGTCCAGTGATTGCCAGGCAGGTATGAGGTCAAGCCAGGAAGTCTGTTCAATTACAGGATTCAGACAAACAGTGAATATGGCCAGGCATAGCTGGGAAAGATAGACCACATTACAACTCAGGCAGGGACTAAAAGCCCAGGGCTGAGGTAAATGGGTTTCCTGGAAGATGTGGAGTGACCCAGGAGAGGCTGGTCAGGGCCATCAAAACTTATCAGTACCCTTGAAGCAAGGCAAAACGATGATTCCTGCCTACCTCTCAGTATTCTTCAGCACAGAAACCAGCATAGCAATGATGTGGGATTTCCCTT